AATGTCATTTTAAAAGATAACCTTATAGATAGAAACTCATTTTTGTTCTATCAATACTGGGTGCTATTTTGTACAAATGCAGAACTTTGGTATAATTTGACTTTGAAGGGAAGTTGCATATAGTTGCTTTCGACCCCGTCAATAACACACAGGTGGGTTGAAAGTAGCACGACAGTTTATACCTGGTTTACTGTTGTTTATCATGTTTATTACAATATTAATTTGTATTTGCAAACATATTATGTCCTTTATTTTAATAGAATTATATTTCATTTTCTATTTTCAACAACAGTATTAACAGTATGACAGTGTAAAAATAACACATTTAATTTGATTTATTAGTCTATTATTATTATTAGGTAGTATTACTATCAGTTCTCTTCTTTTATTCATTTTATTTATTTCATTTTTTTTTAATTACAGTTTTACATTGATATTGTAGTAACTCATTTCATATTATTATTTTTATTTTATTTTTGTTTATTTATTTGCACAAAAAAACAAAAAGGACAATTGATAATGTTGTACAGGGAAAAGTCCTACAGGAGGTGAAAGACACCCGTAGAGGTACTTAAGAAATTGTTACTATTGTTCCAGACATGGCAAACTTCAGGATGTTTTAAAATATCTGTAAAATGGCACATTAAACAACATATACAACTTCTCATTCAGAAAAAAATACTGTTGGATTGAATTTACTTATTGTGGTCCAAAAAAACTTTCTCTCTCTCTCTCCACTGGATATTCTATACGACACGTGCTGAAGTTTGACTGAAATTGTGGAGTTGCTTTAATACCGGCTCTAGTGTTTGTACTGGCCTACAAATTATTTCATACAAGAGGGCTTAAATGTAAGAACTATATGTGCATTGTTTATAATCTCTTGTTATTTCTGTCTTCATTTTTATATCCTCTAAAATGTGTAAGTGCAGCAAGTCAAAGAATTTTGGGGGATGGTAATAACACAGACCGAGAAATAATAAGCCAGTAAATGAGCTAGAGAGGGAGTTGTCTGCAGTGTAAAACTTAAAATATTGAAGACACACAATAGAATACCAGTGCACACAAACAAACAAAACTCTTACTGTTAACGTCGAGATCAAACATGGTGTTGTTCTGATATAAAGTTGAGTCTGACTCATTTAAACAATATCCGTATCTGCAAAGGATTAATTAAATATTAAAAAACTGAAAAAACAACTACAGGACATGGTGATGTTTAACTTACAAATACAAATTCATGCCAACAAATGAAATCCACTATCATTACAAGTAAAAAAAGATTGCTTACATTTTTAAAGTAACTGTGATTTCATAGATGTTCGGTGTGTCCTTTGAAGCTACGTTCATATCACCACTTGGTGAAAAAATAGCATTGAATGCTCTAAACCAACAGCTCTCTGGGGACATTGATATGATGTACCATCTCCCAAGCAGCTGAAATATCATTAGAAGATCAT